ATTCATGAGGTAACTAACATCCTCAATCTCGTAAAAATTAGTTATGCCTAAGAACTTCAAATTCGGACAACTACTTAACACGGGCAATAATCTATGAAAAAATCGAAGGTTGTTTGTTCTAAGAGACGTCAACGAGTGAGCTTGAGTTCGGAGCGACTTATAAACAGATGACGAATGCGAATGATCCAACCATTCAAACAATTCTATTGAACGAAGTGCCACCTGCGATTCTATGAAATGTGCCAAGGCTTCGCAGAGTGGTCTGTAATTTTCGAGTCTAAGGTAAACGTCAAATTCTATGTGCTGAATGTTACGAGAATAACGAGATATCGTTCGAACGTAGTTAGTCAATACATTTCCGGAATCCTCATCTAAGCCATCCCAGCACTGGGTTTCGAATGTTTTGACACTTGATAGAGCCCGATCAATTCCATCATATTGCTCAATATCTCTCAATATAGGATATATTCCTCGGAAATCATTAGTTTCATTGCAATTGTAGTTGAAATCGTGATCCCACCTTAGCGTTTCCAGTCCCCTTGAGCGACTAAAGATGAGTTGAACAATGAGATTAATGGTGAACCCCATCTTTTCGGTTTTGTAAGGTTCACTAACGCCTTGAAATATTTCTAGCCATTCAGAAACACAACTCTGCATGTTGTGAGTATTTAAGCTTCGAATGTACGAAGGGTAATCGAATAATGGTGATGGAGGATTAGGCGGCATTTTGATTTCTATATCGATCCAACGCTGCTTCTCGTCCTTATTCAGACAAGTTATCAATGTCTGAAATATATGCGATGCTTTGTGTGCGTTGATCTTGTATCCAAATGGACATTTCCATAAAAGTGGAATCGTAAGTTTTGCCATTTGACGATTTGCGAGAAGACATGAGTTGAGTGTCTTCGGCGTTATAGAATCATTTTCAAGGTGCTCCAAAATTTCGATTATACAATCTAAAGGTAATATAGGGTTAACTTTTGTTTGTTCGGTCCGATCACCAGTAACGTTTGACATGGTGAAAGCTTTTTTTGTTTACTTTTAAAAGTACTATCTCAATTGTCAGAAAATTCATAGCCGATATAGATGATCATTTTTATCAATTGCACGTGGCTAACCTTGGTTTATATAATTACATCACGCGCATGTATTTGTTAAATTGCGTTTTAGTAAACCGATTTTCTTTAAAGATTTTCTTTGTTAAAAATAATCAGATCGCGCTCAAATCAAATTCGCAGATATTTGTCATTTCCTTTTTGGATTGACAAGACGATCATTTTTTTTAAAAAAAAAAATCCCGAGTACCTATGATCAGCCTACTGCATTCACTAGTTTACTTTCTGAATACGCATATATGTACTTAAACGTGCATAATCCTTATTAAAAAAATCTTTTCAAATCATATTACTATTATGCATTTATTATTCTTTAAATAAAACAAAAACATATTTTTAAGATTTAAAAAAGTGTATTAAATCTAAATAACTATTCAATTATTGACTATTATATAAATATTGAAAATAACAAATATATACGATCTATTATTTAAAAAAACTCAATAATTTTTTAGTAATCAAATTAATTAAATCAATTTTATTTTATTTTTTAATAAAATAAAATATTTATATTATTTTAAAAAAAAACAAAAAAAAAATTTTTTTTTTAAATAAATTAATATACTATACATATAATCAACCATTAATATATTTAAATCAATTTGAATTATTACAATAAATTGCATATATAAAATTTTTTAATTCAGTTTATTCATCTGTAATATTATATTTTTAGATATTGTTTATAGAATGATATATCTATTTTATTATTATATATTTTTAAATTTAATGTTTTTTTTTATAATTTGATTATTTGATAATTAATATTTAGAATCTTTTATTTTTTCTTAAAATCTTAAGTTACAATTATAATAAAATACTTATATTAAATAAAATCAAATAAAACAATAAATAAAAAATTTATAATTTAAAACATAAGATATATATATATATGAAAATTGAATAATTATTAATATAATATAATATATAATTTTAAAAATATCAAAATAAATTTAAACAAAACAATATTAAATAAAAATATAATTAAATATTATAATATATATTGTTAATTTAAAAAATTTTGTCAAAAAAATAAATAAATTTGTAATTGAATTAATATAAAAAAATTTAATAATTAAAATTAAAAAATAAATAAATAATATAATATAATATATAATAAAAGTTTTTATTAATTCATAATAATTATACAAAATCTTATGTTTAATATTTTATTTAGTAACTTAAAATTATATATTTTTACCAATAAAATTTAATCATTAATATATTTATTTTATTTAAAATAATAAAATGGTATTTTTCTATGGAATTTATTAACTTAATTAAAAAAACTAAACTATTATTTACTTATTTATTTGATAAACATGTTATAGAATTTTAAATTTTTACAAAAATATAAAATATTTTAAAACCTATTTTTGTTTATTACATAATGAAAAATCATTTGTTTTATATAAAATTCTATAAATTACTTAATTATTATTTAAAAAAAATTTGTTTCACTTATATATTATAAAATATTATAAAATATTTTAATAAAACTTTTTTTTAAAATATTTGTTAAATATAAAAATTTAACATAATTTTTAAATACGTATATGTATTTTTTTTTTTTGAAAGAACAAATAATTTTATATTATATTTTTATTTATACTTTTAGACTTGCAGTATAAAATTTATAAATCTATAGTATGAAATATGTTTCTTTTTAT